TCCCTAGAAGAAAGGCTTATAACACATTATTACACATCAATACGGATATTTCCACGCGGCTCATCTCATTTGCGGGTATATCTGAAAATCATCACCATCAATTCTCTCTAAACAAATAAAGTTGATGGGAGATCGAAGATGAATTACGGAGGCGGGACATGTTTGTGGTTCTATACAGAGACTTCCATCCATCCATTGGTTGCTAAGATGTACACTTGGAGCCACAGGGTATCTTAGAGGGGTCCATGCCACTACTTGGAGCTACAGGGGGTATCTTAGAGGGGTCCATGCCACTACTTGGAGCTACAGGGGGTATCTTAGAGGGGTCCATGCTACTACTTGGAGCTACAGGGGGTATATTAGAGGGCTCCATGCCACTACTTGGAGCTACAGGGTATCTTAGAGGGCTCCATGCCACTACTTGGAGGTACAGGGGGTATCTTAGAGGGGTCCATGCCACTACTTGGAGCCACAGGGGGTATCTTAGAGGGGTCCATGCCACTACTTGCAGCCATAGGGGGTATCTTTAAAAGGTCCATGCCACTACTTGGAGCTACAGGAGGTATCTTAGAGGGGTCCATGCCACTACTTCCAAGGGACGCTTGTAGAGGCCTCTAGGCAGTTTAATCTGAGCCCAGGTTTACTTTAAGTACAAGATGAGCATCTGACTCATGGAGACCCTTCGGGTGACCCACCATATGGGAGGTGTCATTGTGGCTTCTATTTAAGGCAAACCTGTTCTTTCTACATCCAGAGACAAGTAACAGGTAAGTCTAATAGCCCATCCCTCCCATCCCTACACCCTCTTGCCCCCGGATCTGATGAATACATTCACCTGCTGGAGCTTACACCAGGTTAAAGGACTCGACCTTCACCCCCACATCACAGCAATGGGACCCACTGATTGGCTGCTCAGGTATCCAGTGTTGCATTGTGGGAGAAAGGTGAGAGAGTCACATGTTTCCTCTAGTAAAAAGTAATTCAATGGGCTGGAAAGTACGAGAAGCAGAGGTGTCGGCTGGCACGCTAACCTGTTACTTTGCCCTGAAGGGTCAACCCATGAATTCACTTCAAAGCAACCCTGTTGTCACTCTGTAGTAACTACGTGCTAATGATCTCTGAGGTCTTCAGCATCCATTGGGTGCTTGATCCCTCCCCTTCTACCCAGCTTGTTGTGGTTCCTTCTGCCGACCCCCAAATCTCTATTGTGTCCTGTCCTGATGTAAGATGCAGTAAAAGAGAAGCAGAAGGAACCACAGCATACGTGCAGAAAATGGGGACCAGGCATCCATCCAATACCTCCAGAAGCACATCGGTGGGGCAGGAGGGGGCTATGTTTTTATCCCTTTTCATTGTAGGGAAGCCTGTTTTAAAACTGATTAAGTAGCAACATAGCTGCTATGAAGAGACATTGCCACCTTCCCCATGCAGAAGACACCGCCACCTTCCCCGTGCTGAAGACACCGCCGCCTTCCCCGTACAGAAGACACCGCCGCCTTTCCTGTGCAGAAGACACCGCCGCCTTGCCCATGCAGAAGACACCGCCGCCTTGCCAATGTAGAAGACACCGTCGCCTTGACCGTGCAGAAGACACCGCCGCCTTCCCCGTGCAGAAGACACCGCAGCCTTGCCCGTGCAGAAGGCACCGCCGCCTTCCCCGTGCAGAAGACACCGCCGCCTTGCCCGTGCAGAAGACACCGTGGCCTTGCCCATGCAGAAGACACCGTCGCCTTGCCCATGCAGGGCAGAGTGACAATTTATTTGTAAAGCCCTTCTAAAATTATACTCTTCCTACCAGCATTTCCATCCCTCGCAGCTCCTCTCTCCATTATAGTCATCACTGAAATTCAAGGCTTTCGCTAGTGTCAGAGAGGTGATGTCACATGCCCTCCATACCCACAAGCATTGGGTATTGGTGAGGGAGCACTGGTAAGGTGACTGTAAATTGTGTGGATGAGCCCTTTACAAACACACTGTCATCTTGCACTGAACGGGCAAGGTGACAGTGTCTCTTTAAAGATGCGGGCTCATAATTTCTGGCCTTATTACCCACGTTACTGACCCTGAACAAGCCAGTGAAGTCCTCCATTACCAGGACAGGAGCTAACTAGATATGGAATCGGATTGATTGCCTTGGGCCTGACACCAGCGATGGAAGCTACCATGCATCTGTAAGGATCACTTTCAGGGTCGGTTTTGATGAACTTTGGGCATAGCATCAGTATGACATCTGTGAGACGCTTCTGAGATCATTCAGAATTCATTGATCAGGTGCTTTTGACCTGCAATTGACCCCTTTCTGACCTGCATCAAGCCATAGACTCTTAAGGGAATGCAAAACCCCATTGACGTGAACAAAAGCCCATCCATACAGTCCCTAAAGAAGATGTATACATACAGCACATACATACAAACACACACCTGGGGGCAGCCATACTGACCGGTTACATAAGCAGGCTCTGCTTCCTTCTGAGTCTCTTATTCCATAGATAAGATCTGACAGATTGGCATAATTAGAAGCTGCATGGAGTTTCTTGTTTTCAAACACCCGCAATGCAGCCGGTGGCCAGGGACAGTGTCATCTTCCCATGTGTGACATCATGGGGCCCGGAGCAATGTTTTCACAGCAAGGGAAAGGTACTTTTTTTTTTGCATGCAGTAATGCTGAAAAGTGAGTAATTGAATGTCTACCTACCATCCATCGTATGCCCAGAGACCGTTGTACAGAGCCAGGCTGATGCCCCCCACCGTAATGGTGGAACCTTCAAAGCTGTTTGAAAAATTCTGTGTGTTTCCTGGAGGAGCAGAAACATTGTCAGTTGTGCAGTTGTCGGTCGCTGGTACCTCTTGCATAATGAATGGCAGGGGCAGGATGTTGCGGTGGGCATATGGACCATGAAGCCTATACTGTTGGCAAGGGCCCAGCAGGGTGGTACAAGAACGACCGAGTGAGGGGGTCATGTGATTAGGATGGGTGTAGACCAATCAGAATAAACATAGACTTCTGCAATGGAAGCAGCTTGCGATCTCTAAATATCTTGGATCCATTCTTTTTGGTTCCATGGCTCTAGGATTAGAAGATGGGATATGGACTAGAATGATTCCGACAAATCTATAACCACATGGGTCTATATGAACCATTGCAGTCAAGGAACCCCTTCCAACCAGGTACATTCAGAAGCCAGACAGAATGGAGCTTCATCTCTATGTTGGGACTTTAGTATAGCCTAGGGGTAAGTAAACTTGGGCCCTCCAGCTGTGGTGCAACTACAAATCCCATTAGGCATTGCAAGACTAACAGCCACAGGCATGATTCCCAGATGCACGATGGGACTTGTAGTGTCACCACAGCTGGAGGTCGTATGCCTAGCCCTGGTATAGTCTTTGGCATCCGGCAAGATGGGATAAAGGGTCCATGCCACCACCTCCAGGGGATGCCTGTAACAAGAGTGGTATAATCCAAGACAAGGTTTACTCTAGATACAAAATGGGCATCTCACACGTAGAGCCCCTTCGGGTGATCCACCATATGGAAGCTCAGTTCTGATGCATACATTCACCTGCCGGAGCTTATACCAGGTTAAAGGACTTCCTTTCCAGGGCCTCATTGGAGCCAAGCTCACAACTAAACCTACATGCCCCTCGTGGTGCATGTACATGGGGTCTAGCAATCGTTAGCAGGACATGTCTTTTTTTTTTATTGCTTGACCGGTTCATGTTAACTGGCTGAGGTCAGGATTGGGTGAGCTGGTTGCTGATAACAGTACGCAATGCCAATGACGCCTTAGCTTCAACCAGAGCTGAGATGACAGTCAACAGAGACAAAATGGCTGCGGTGAGGACCTGACACCATTGCACCAGAGCACTCGCATACTCGGGGAGCCATGGCGGTGATGGAACTCTGACGTGCGGTACCCACCTTGAATCAGCAGCACAATGCCGCTAACAATGATGATGACGACGATGATCATTTTGGCCACCGTTAAGAAGTTCTGGACGTAGCTTGCCAACTTCACGCTCATACAGTTCACCACCGTGATCGTCACTGCCAGACAGAGGACAACAGAGGTTGTTAGATCCATGTACAAAATGGAGAAAAGGGTCCCCGCCACCCGGAGCATTCACCACATTCTAGATCAGTGGTTCTCAACCTGTGTAACCTCAGGACCCATATTTGTCCTCGGCCATTAAGTCGCACTGCAATGGAATGCACAGCGTTGCAGTATTGGGCGTTCGGTGTAGGCTATTGGACTGTGGGCGGGAGGTGCGTTTCGGGTGTCATTCAAATGAATGGCAACGCAAAACACCTTCCACACCAGTAGGTGCAATTGCGTGGTACAGCGCATTTTCATTATATCGGACTATGCGATTAACGCACTGTACTGAATGCACCCTGAAAAACACTGACAGACTCACACACAACCACAGGCGCAATCTCACACACTCACAGACATTCTCACATACACATACCCAGCCATTTCTTCTTAAGGCTCTGTTCACACCTAGGCCTAACGCGCGTTTCCGAGGGCTACTTGGCTGTATCCCAATGGAAACGCGAGACAAAAACGCCGCAAAGAAGCTCATGTACCTTTTCAGGCGTAGGCCATTTTGTAGCGCGTTCAGACGGGCTGAAATACAGCAAGGTGTGAACCATACCCATAGAAAACAATGGGATTTTCACGTTTGAGCGTTTTGTGGAGCGTTCGTAGAGCGTTGAACGCGCTACAAAACGTACAGGTGTGAACCAGGCCTAAGTGGGCTGCTGTGCTGTGACGGAGCTCCATCCAGATGTGCATTGCTTGTACAGCTCCCTTGTGCGCCCTATAGAGGTGCCGGGAGCCAGAATGTGGCGTCACTCCAGTCCAGGCACCTCTACAGGGCACGTGAATGAGCTGTAAGCAATGCACATATGGATGGAGCTCTCCCATTTTGGCCATACTTCCAGCACACCCCAACTTTGTGTATTTTATATCTGCCCGGAGTTCAATGGAACCTTCAGTTTTACAATTACAGTGTGCTTCAAGCGCACATCAAGTCCTTACTCGGTCAGATCTCCTGATCGCAGAAGCTGAAACCCTATTGGCTGCTTCTGGACACACGTGACGTACGTACTTATGGCGGCGGCTGCCAGGCACTTGATGACCACTGGTGGGGGTTCACAGCCAGGATAAAAGGGCGCCGATGTGTATTCAGCAAAGCTCAGGCAGATGATGGCGAACGACGAGGGCTTCATGACGATGACGCTGGCCCAGGAGAAGAGGAACGCCGGGATGGGGCCAAAAGCTTCCATGAGGTATGGGTACTCCCCGCCAGATTTTGTAATCATCGTACCGAGTTCTGCGAAGCACAGCGCACCTGCGAGGAAACACAACACGGCATATAGGGTCGCTTCATCCGTCACTCCCTACACTTCATCTGCATGGCTTCATAAATGCATTTCATTTGGAGAGACAATCCCTCTTCTAGAGCCACAACGCTCCATAATGCTTTCCTCAACTGTCCCTCTTTTTTGGCCTAAAATATGGATCCCCATAAGTTAGTCAGCGGTGATCAGTCTTTATGGCCCACGTATCTGGAGGTGTTGTCAGGGGTGTGTCCTATGCCTTTATACACTGATCATTCTTTATGGCCCATGTATCTGGAGGTGTGGTCAGGGGTGTGTCCTATGCCTTTATACACTGATCATTCTTTATGGCCCACGTATCTGAAGGTGTGGTCAGGGGTGTGTCCTATGTCTATACACTGATCATTCTTCATGGTCTGTGTATCTGGAGGTGTGGTCAGCTGTGCGTCCTATGCCTTTATATACTGATCATTCTTCTTGTATCAGGAGGTGTGGTCAGGGGCGTGTCTTATGCCTTTATATACTGATCATTCTTCATGTATCAGGAGGTGTGGTCAGGGGTGTGTCCTATGCCTTTATACACTCTTCCCATATGGTCCTATAAGAAAAGTTTTAGGACCCCACCTGCTGATTATATCTAAAAGCAAATGGCCAAGTGCTCATACACAGGTTCTCTTTAAAGCGCGTTCTTGAAGCCCCTTAATATTTACCTAAGATGCCAATTATTCCACACCCGGCCCAGATAAGGAGACATGGCCCCACGGCGCCAGTGTTACGGAGGACAGATTTGGGGGAAATGAAGATGCCCGATCCAATTATTGTTCCAACGATAAGACTGATCCCGCTGAACAGACCAACCTGTGGACAGAAGACAGGAAAAGTCTTGTTATTTATTATGGTTAAAGATCTGAAGAGTTTACATCATAGTTTTATTCCCTATTATTGATACAGTGCTGATATATTATGGAACACTTTATAGAGTTCACAGTAGGGCTGCAACAACTAATCGACATAATCGATTATTGAAAAAGTTAGGCTCGCTCCTAGGAACTAGAAGTCCCATCACTGGAGCCATTTTTTAAAAATGTATTTTATTTTTTATCCGATTAACCGATTAATCGAACGTAATAATCGGCGAACTAATCGATTTTGAAAATAATCGTTAGCTGCAGCTCTAGTTCACAGGTCTATTTATTCCTTCCCTGCCCCCCGAGGATCATACAGCCTTATATCTCCACCAGAGCTATACAGACATTTAGAATAATCACGTAACAGTTCATTAGGCTCCGCCCACGAGGAGCCTAAAGCCTAATAGTCTCACCATAATTCTACACCTGGGTCTAATATGACCTCTGTAGGCTCAGTAGGGGCCGAGTTATATGTCCTCTGTAGGCTCAGTAGGGGCCGAGTTATATGTCCTCTGTAGGCTCCGCAGGGGCCGAGTTATCTGTCCTCTGTAGGCACAGCAGGGGCCGAGTTATCTGTCCTCTGTAGGCTCCGCAGGGGCAGAGTTATATGTCCTCTAGGCTCAGCGGGGGCAGAGTTATATGCCCTCTAGGCTCAGCAGGGGCAGCGTTATATGTCCTCTAGGCTCAGCGGGGGCAGAGTTATATGCCCTCTAGGCTCAGCAGGGGCAGCGTTATATGTCCTCTAGGCTCAGCGGGGGCAGAGTTATATGCCCTCTAGGCTCAGCAGGGGCAGCGTTATATGTCCTCTAGGCTCAGCGGGGGCAGAGTTATATGCCCTCTAGGCTCAGCAGGGGCAGCGTTATATGTCCTCTAGGCTCAGCGGGGGCAGAGTTATATGCCCTCTAGGCTCAGCAGGGGCAGCGTTATATGTCCTCTAGGCTCAGCGGGGGCAGAGTTATATGCCCTCTAGGCTCAGCAGGGGCAGCGTTATATGTCCTCTAGGCTCAGCGGGGGCAGAGTTATATGCCCTCTAGGCTCAGCAGGGGCAGCGTTATATGTCCTCTAGGCTCAGCGGGGGCAGAGTTATATGCCCTCTAGGCTCAGCAGGGGCAGCGTTATATGTCCTCTAGGCTCAGCGGGGGCAGAGTTATATGCCCTCTAGGCTCAGCAGGGGCAGCGTTATATGTCCTCTAGGCTCAGCGGGGGCAGAGTTATATGCCCTCTAGGCTCAGCAGGGGCAGCGTTATATGTCCTCTAGGCTCAGCGGGGGCAGAGTTATATGCCCTCTAGGCTCAGCAGGGGCAGCGTTATATGTCCTCTAGGCTCAGCGGGGGCAGAGTTATATGCCCTCTAGGCTCAGCAGGGGCAGCGTTATATGTCCTCTAGGCTCAGCGGGGGCAGAGTTATATGCCCTCTAGGCTCAGCAGGGGCAGCGTTATATGTCCTCTAGGCTCAGCGGGGGCAGAGTTATATGCCCTCTAGGCTCAGCAGGGGCAGCGTTATATGTCCTCTAGGCTCAGCGGGGGCAGAGTTATATGCCCTCTAGGCTCAGCAGGGGCAGCGTTATATGTCCTCTAGGCTCAGCGGGGGCAGAGTTATATGCCCTCTAGGCTCAGCAGGGGCAGCGTTATATGTCCTCTAGGCTCAGCGGGGGCAGAGTTATATGCCCTCTAGGCTCAGCAGGGGCAGCGTTATATGTCCTCTAGGCTCAGCGGGGGCAGAGTTATATGCCCTCTAGGCTCAGCAGGGGCAGCGTTATATGTCCTCTAGGCTCAGCGGGGGCAGAGTTATATGCCCTCTAGGCTCAGCAGGGGCAGCGTTATATGTCCTCTAGGCTCAGCGGGGGCAGAGTTATATGCCCTCTAGGCTCAGCAGGGGCAGCGTTATATGTCCTCTAGGCTCAGCGGGGGCAGAGTTATATGCCCTCTAGGCTCAGCAGGGGCAGCGTTATATGTCCTCTAGGCTCAGCGGGGGCAGAGTTATATGCCCTCTAGGCTCAGCAGGGGCAGAGTTATCTGTCCTCTGAAGGCTCGGCAGGGGAAACGTATACATAACTCTGCCCCTGCTGAGCCTACAAAGTATACACAACGCTGTCCCTGAGGACCCCACAGGGCGCACAGTCATACAGGCCCTCTAGAGCAAAGAGGAGGAGCCGTTTATACTATGCAAACACTTGGAGAACATGTAAACCACATGCCTCTCTTCATTGGCTAGTTTCTAGAAGAGCCGTGATATTTATATTATGTAATATACAACTTGTGGGCCTGTCTGTGACTTCATTACAGCTACATAGGTGTTCTGTACAGAGGGTCTCTCACACTGTCATAGGCCAGCCATTGATTGACTGAATGGGCGGAGCTTGGCATTTACCTATTCCCTCCAATGCTGGGCTTTCCCTGTATAGACTATCTTCATACAGATATGATACGGTCAGATTGAAACCCCCCCCTGGCTCTCCATCGCATAACCAAAGCAGGCATGTCATAAATTCTTAGAATTCCAATTCTCCCTTCCCCCCCGGAGACTTTGTACCCAACAATAAACCTCACACTCTCACCCGTTGCCCAATTTCTAGCTCGCTTTTTATGGCCCTGAACCAGCAATTTATGTCATTTATCAAGCACAATAAAAATGCTCACCGTGCAACCTCAGCTTGGAGTTTCCCAATTCCCGTACATATCACGAGGCGCTGCACGTCGCTGACGTCACTGCGGCCTTGTATGGAGATACCGCGGCGGAGAGAAGCTCAGTCACATAGCGTTCCGTAGGAACACCAATGTGGGTTAAGGACATCTACACCATAACCAGATGCGTGACATTGCTCACCCAGTTTGTCTAATCCCCCGGGGAATATAAAACTTCAGAACATAGAACTATGATCGGTAATAAAAAAGGAAACGATGTAAACAAAAGAGCAGCCAGAACATTCCGGGACCATATCAAAGTGGGATTCCCGGCACAACTGTAAAGCCAAAACTTGGATAGAGTGGGAAATGGTGAAAGGGGTTTCATAAGAGACCCTACGTGCCACCTGACTGGTCTAAGGGCCCAGTCACACCATATCCAGTGCGTCCCGGGCTTGAACCACACAGGATATGGTGTGACTGGGCCCTCAAGACATCTGATAAAGGTTACCGAAATAGGGGGAGCCTCTAGGGATGGAGGGATCCCCGAGTTGTGTTTGAACTTACCCCCTTCACCACCCACTCAATGTCTTCTAATCACCTGCCCTCCCTCGATCCTCTCTACCCGTTATAAGGTATGGCGACTGTCGGCTTTAAACTGGAAGCGATTCCGGAGGCTGAGCTGCCACCAGATCGCTTCCACAGGCCAGTGAAGTGTGCCTTCCCCCCGCCTTGCTTCCCGGGCTACGGGACAGGTGACAATAGGCGGCGGATCGGCCAATAGGACCCGGCGGCGTGGAACTCGTCGCTTTATGGCCCAGCTGACTAAAATACAGCAACATGTTGACACGACGCAGAGTTAAAGGCGCTTATCTTATCTAAATCTAAATTGAATAACATTTTCATGACCAAGTGAGATAAGGGACACGACGCGCAGAACGTCTTCTTATCTAGTTCTGAATTGAATCCCATTCTCATGGAGGGTGCAGTGCAAATACCGGCAAGGCACGCAGGTAGCTATTAACCGCGCCGGGTATCCATTAACCTGTGTGCGGACCTCAGCGACAACGCTGAACCCGTAGAGCAAGCACTTCGGGTGTGATGCCGGAGCGGCACCGTGACTGCGGCCTTGCAGCACCGGATTCAGTTCCCGTTGAGGGCCTTTCAGAGCCTGATACAGCTCTGCTCCCCGACACACCTCTGCTCCCCGACACACCTCTACTCCCCGACACACCTCTACTCCCCGACACCCCTCTGCTCCCCGACCCACCTAAGACACACCTCTACTCCCCGACACACCTCTACTCCCCGACACACCTCTGCTCCCCGACACACCTCTGCTCCCCGACACACCTCTGCTCCCCGACACACCTCTGCTCCCCGACACAACCCAGTGATGATGTCACCGCTAGGTTTAGAAGGTGATATCCGGGTTTGCGAAGGTGTTAAGCGGATTGAGGAATATATTTAAATGAAAAGTTTTTGTGCTTCAAATAACGCATTTAGGTCGGTCCACACAATACCGGCATCTCAGCATTCATTGGGTGCTGGAGAGTTAAACCGCCTACATGTGTCTTATATCTCGCAGGAAATGGGCCGATAAGATAGCAGACGCCCCAGGCCCACGCAGCTGCCGTGGCCATCGCAAAGGCGCTTTCTCTTTTGATTTTATAGAACGGAGAACGTAGCGGGAAACTAAAAAAATCGCCAGCGGCTGAGTCAACCCACCAACAGAGGCCCCCCGGGCCTTCCAAAATCT